TATAAATTTTTTTATACTATATATCTAAAAGGTTTATAAATTATTAATAATATATTTTAGCAGTTTTTTTTAATTTGTTTTTCTTTCTTGTTTTTCTATTCAACTATATATTTTCTTCTTCAAAATTTACAATATGTAATTCTGATTTTGTTTCTATATAATATCTAATCATTAATATTATATTAAATATCAAATAGCAAAATTGAATTAATAATAATAAAACTATATACTGTATATACTGTATTAATAAAATAATTTTTAATAATATATAATATATTATTTTTTTATTTATGATAAATTCTATTATTTGTAATAAATTACTTTTTAAAGAATAATTATTAATAACGATAAGCGTACACGTGTCTTTTTTTAAAAAAAAAAAATTAGTCTGATACTCACTCATCCTTGAAGAACATGCAATCCTCTCCACTTACCAATCGGGATCGAGAAATTTTTCAGCGTATAAATTTCCATCAGACTACCAATTTTGCTACGATAATTTATGAACACTTACAACAGATTCAAAGTGATGCCAATGAAAATGATATAATTAAAATAATCTCTAATAATAATAATTCGTTACTTGAGGTTGATTTTCAAGAGAAATGCGTAAGTATTAGCAAGAATAATATGAGAATTCTACTTATCTGTATGGTTTGCGATTATATTTACAATATTTATCTTATATTAGACAAAAATTCGAGAAGCCACCTCGAACAGAGATAATAATGCCTTACAAAAATCTACGTTAGAGATTTATCACCCACCGACCGATACGCATAAAAATTCTTATTCAATTTCTTCTTTAAATATTGTAATTCTACTTTGTAAAAAGGATTTTGATGAACGGGATCATATTGCGAGTGGAGGAGGCACGCAAAGTCATGAGGAAGAAGAATCATGTGGAAAAGAGAGAGAATGGTCATCGTTAAAATTTCAGTATATCCCTCCTAGTACTATTGACGTGGATATCAAAGATGTAATGAATGAAGAGTACAAAGTCGTTGATACCAAATCAATTGTGATGGAAGAAAAATGGTTTCTTACGAGTGATAATATAAGAAAATGTGACGAAGTCGTGAGCAAAGAATCGAAATGGGTAAGTTCAAATTTTTTCTTCCTTTCTTTATCTTATTTACATATTTACATATTTATTTTATTTTATAGAATAAAGTTTTATCACCAAAAATCGTGGCAATGAAAGCTGTGAGAGATAGAGATGGCATAATTATCCATGTAAAAACCAAAAATCAACCGATATTACCTACCCTATCGTCAACTTCCACGTCTGCTATCCCTCCCGTGCCATGATTCTTCCTTTCCCGTACGTCTTGTAGTCTAGAAAAAAAAATTTCTTATTAAGTTAGTTTGGAATTTTTTAATAAAATATAGTTTGTAAGAATACATGTGAGCAAAAAATTTTGAAAAACTTAAATTATTTATAAAGTTATAAAAAACAAATATAGAAATAATAAATTATAATTTTATTTATTTAAATATTAATGAATTTAAAGTTTATATTATAAAAAGCTATTTAAATTAACTAATTAATCAATTAATATATATTTAAAATTTAAAAAATTTAATTGTTTTAAATAAAGTCTCACATTTAATGCCTGTTTGCTATTAAACAAATAATTTAAAAATTAAAAATAATGATTTATCGAGTAATAATTAATTTTAATTTAATTTATTTCAATACAATATTTGCTTAAATAAAAAATCTCAATATAAATCTTATTTATTATAAATAATAATAAAGATATATAGCTATATTATAATATTTTTTTTTTGGAACATGAAACAAAACCTATTTTATTCATTTTAAATAAAATAAAAATAAAATACATGTTACTTAAGATTACAAAAAATTTTTATAGACTTGTTTTATTATATTTTTATATTATTTTTTTATAATAAAACTAATTAATATATTAATTACTTTTCTTGTAACATGTTATTCTTAAAACCAATATATATAGGCATTATTAACATATTCAATTAGAATATTAACAATATTATATATATTTTTTTAAAATATTTGGATTTATTTTTTTTTGAATAAAAAATTTTTTTTAATTTATTTGTTCAGTTGTTTTTTTTTTGCTTTTGATACAGATACCTTTTATTTTTAAATAAAATATTTTAATTTTTTTTTTATTTGTATAATTTATTATATTTGTTAATTTATATATTATAAGTAAGAATCCTAACAATTCAATTTGATTTAATTTCAATTCTTGGATTTATATTAAATTTAATATATGAATTATATCTTGTTATGATTTTTAATAATGTTTAAATCTTATACAAGTCTATATAAATCTGATTTTTGAAATTATAATTATAAGTAATAAAAATTTTTTTTAATTTGACTAATTAAGCCATGTCTAATATTATTTTATTTAATTCATATATGTATATATTATATATTACAAAAAGTTATTATTTATAAATTATTTTAGATATTACCAAACTATATTAGATTTTACCTTTATACTGACTTGTTACTATTAGCTATAAATCCAGAAATCTACTTGTATCAAAGTTAACATACTATAATGCCATTAGTATTATTATTATATATTAAGTTTTATTTTTAACTAGATATATTAAAAAGAAGTTTGAAAAGAAGAAACTAAAAGTAATATCTATTAGATAAATAGAATTTTATAGAAAAAACTTTCTAAATTTAATTATTTGTAGATAAGTATATTATTTAATTTCTATTTTTTTAAAGCTACTCAAAAATATTCAAGAAATTTATTTTACAAACTTACTGTTTATAGATTGTTTTTGCTATACATATTGTTATAGAAAAAAAGTGATAAGTAGATAATAGAAGATTATAAAGTAAATATATTAGGTATAATAGGTATAATTAGTATATCAGGTTTAATCAGTATAACTGATATATCAGGTATAACTGATATAAAATAATAAGATATAAAAAAGATAAAAAAGAACTATAGTATAGGAGATAGTAATTAATAACTAATAGTTAATAACTAATAGATAATATTAATAATAAATCAATAAAATACTGTATCCAATTTTATTTTTAATATTAATTGTATGAAAATCCCACAGTATTACCTTATTGACATATAATTAATAACTCTATCAAATTTATATGTTTTTTTTAAGGATGACTCAATCCCTTAATTGATGTTGCATAATATGATTCAGTAAGAAGCAACTGATTTACCATTTTACCACAACAATATAACTAAAATTATTTTATTATTAACTTAATTATTTGAAATTTTTGTAATGTTACAATTAATATGTTACAAGTTATAATTGTGATACAATTATATAAATTTGTTGCAATTAAATTAATATAATACAATCAAATAATTTGCACAATTAAATTAATATAATACAATCATGTAATTTGCTACAATTGTATTATAATTAAATTAATGTAATATAATCATGTGATTTGCTACAATTGTACTACAATTAAATTAATATAATACAATTATATAATTTGTTACAATTATTAAATTTATCACAATTATATTACAATTAAATTAATATGATACAATTATATAATTTGCTACAATTGTACTATAATATTAAAATTGTATTACAATTATTAATCAATTAAATTTTAAATAAATAAATAACCAATCAAATTTTAAAAAAATAATAATAATAAATTAATTGTTTTTCTATTCATTTATCCATTCAAAATACAAAGTAATAACAAATAAATGGTTTTTTTATTATCAAAAAATACAGTTGAGTAATCAAAATCAATTGCTTAACAATATTTTTACAAAGCATTTATTGATAAAAATTATAAATACTTTTCAGCAACATGCTATTATTATAACAAAAAATATCAATATAATAAATGAAATATTTTTAAAGACTATTTAACAAGTAAATATGTATTTTACCCTATTGAAATTTGAAATAAAATTTTGAAGATAATTGTTAATAAAACTATTAATAACAAAAAAAAATCAATCAAAAAAACTAAATTAGATTCTAAATAATCTTTATTAAGCAATTTTATGGAAAGTATCAAATTAATTAATTCTAAAAGAAATGCAATTAATACAGTATTAGGAAGATTTTTTGTCACTTATACAATTTCTTTTACAATTGCAGACCATTTATTTTTTATCAACAATTTCATCCAGCTATAATTCATTATGTCACATAACAATTTTAATCAATATTCTTTCTTTAAAGGCCACAACAATTACAATCAAGATTCAAAAAGAATTGTAAGCAGAAAAAAACATTACTATTGCTTTGAATAAATAGATACTTTATTGAAACCTATCAAATTTTGAAAATCTAATCATGTAAATGTCATGATTTTGTAATTGAATCATAAAGATTCAATTATAATTTAATAGTTTTTACTATGTTATGACAAAATCTTAGCCATTTAGTAACAATTAAATAATTATTTTGATAATAATATTGTCACCAACTCTTTTTAAAAAAATAGTGAGCAAATTGAAACTATATTGCAACAACTTTTAATTAAGAAATAATAACAATATTATTAATATAATTATTAATAAATGTTGTTAAAACAATACAATTTTGAGATAACTTTAATTAAATTACAATAAAAAAAACTCTCATCTATTCACCGCTAATTTTTTGAAAATTTTCTTTTTAGGAAATCTTCTTTCAAGAAGTACTTTTCTTTCTTTACTCTCCTAAGGCAATAAGTTTTAAACAAAGAAAATAAAGACTCAAGGAACATTGTTACAATGGGATGGAATCTTTGGTCAAGACCTAAGCAAGTTGGGAGTTTTCCTTAGCTCTTGGTTGTATGGGGAAAGGCCCATAACATTTTTTCTTTATAATTTTTGTCTTTAAAAACCTTTACTCCAATATGACTATTATAATCACTTTCCTCTTTTTCCTTTTTCCCTCTATATTACAAATATATCTTTAACTACATATTCAAACAAAGTTACTGGATCTAATGTTTAACTTAACACAACCTTTACAAATTTTCTTTATTTTTTATTTTTCTTTTTTTATCAAAAACAACAATACATATTATTTTCTCACTCTATCACTATTTCAAAAAAAAAAAAACCATATTTAGTTTTATCCTATTAAAAGATTAACACATAACCAACAACCAATCAAATTTCTTCACTCTTTTAACAACAAAACCAAATCTGTTCAAATCTGTTTTCAACCAGTTTTTAACAAAATACTCACACACTAACAATAACAACAACAACAATAATAATAATAATAATAATAATTAATTAACAATATACTGGATTGGAAAAGCATATGACTGTGCCCTGCATAGGTTCCAGTAATTTTCAACTAAACAAGCACCAAAATAATACAACAAGATTGGAGCAGGCTCCATACCCAATTCACTATTATTTCAACTATATCACTAACCTATAAACCATTTAACTTTTCACAATTATCATTAACAATGGAGTTGCGACCTATGAGCAGCAATGCTATCATTAAAGAAAAAAGGCAGCCTAAGCCTAATCAATGTGAATAAAAGTAAAGTACTTTTATTACAAGTGGAAGTGAAATATTAGGGAGTTGCACCCCATAATTTGGCAGCCTAAGCCAGTGCTCTTCTACTGCTGTTGGAGTCATGTCCAGCTATCGAAAAAGAAACAGTAACCTAGATAGATATATTTGGTTTATGCCTTACAGAAAGGATTATTAACACAAAAGATAATTACATTCGAAACCCATTACTCATCATCACCATTTCAATAATTCTTATCTTTAATTCCTCAACTATATGTGACTTTCGAGGAGTAATTAACCCTAACTTCGAATTAACATATAAAATAACATTATGTCAAAAATTATTAACTTCCAACTTTTAATACTTTTATACTCCTTTACTTATACTATGGCAACCTTGCCCCTCAAATTTATATATATAATTTATTCTACATAAATAGTTTCTTTCTTAACTTTTTTTCTGCTCAAAGGTTTTTTTATTAGAAATATATCTACTACAATAGATGGTAGACTAATATGTACATAGTTTACTTTATACATGTGGCGTAAATTATTTTGCTGTTGACTCAATTCCCAAAATTCCCAAAATTAATTGTGTCATGACTCAATTATTTATATATTTTAATAGTGAATCAATTAATTGCGTCAAATAAATGCGTCAATTGCGTCAAGAATCTACAAATTTCAGCAACATGTATAGTTTATTTTATCCATATATCTCATATCTTAAAAATTAATTATATAATAATAATAATTAATTATATAATAATAATAATTACATATGACCTGTAAGTCTGTAGTGTAATGGTTAACACTCCACA